TTTATAAAACCTTTTTAAAAACTTAAAGAAAGTCGCCATTTTTGTATAATAATATTTACATTTTTAAGTACACTGATTTCTTAAATAAAAAAATCTCAGATATTAATTAATGTTAATAGACCCTTCCTAATATTTTTGTTTTTTTGTATAAGTAATAAAAAATGTTTGTGTGTGTTTACATTTTTTAATTGAGTAAAGTTCGTCTGAGCAAGTTTTGTTTAAATTAATATTATTTTGAGATAATCCCAATTAAGGATTAAAGAAATAAAACTTAGACGTAGTGGAAACAGGCTTTATTTTAACCACCTGTGATCAGTCAGGTGCTTTCTTTCCACTCCGTCTACCCGTTCTGAATGTAAATACATATATTTCACTCCCATAACGTATACGCCCCCGCAATAATTTGTTTTACTGCAGACATAAAAAACTAAGCAACAAAATGCGAAAAATACAAACAAATTTATTTGAGCCGAGACAATGAAACCTGTTAATTAACTTTGTTCAAATTTGGCAGAAAAGTGTCGCGACAAAATATCCATATCGAAAATAAGAGGGAGTAGCCATTGATTAATGCTCCGCCAAGTCTTCAGTTATTTCAGACCCTCCTCTTTTTATATATTTTTTAGTGTTTTTTTTTTCAGATTTGACTTTGAACTTGAAAAGGAGCATTGACTTGGAGCAATAGAGTTGGTTCAAATGAACACTAATTGAAACGTCATGGGTAGTATTTTTGCGAAGAGTTCAATATTTTGTGAAGGGGAAGGTATTAATAATTGTAGGAGATTTTAAAATCATTATTATCTTAAAGTAATAACTAAAATTCTTACTATTTAGAAATTCTCTCTTAAAAATGAATCACTCAAATCTAAGACGAAATATAAATAATAGTACATATTTCTATGGATATATTAGTGATGGAAAAACGTTGAAGTTTATGCCTTTGTATTCCACTATCCTTTATATATTCATATTAATAACCTTTACCATTTTAAAAGACAAAACTCTTTGTTGAAAGTCAAATTCCCAATCGCAAAGATAAATCTATTTTTCTAAATCTAAATCCAAAAATTTAAATATGAATGCAATTATGGAAAAACTCCATAAATCAAGTCTCCCATGAACGTATGTCGTTTAAGCTGTCCAATGCTCTCGAATGGTAATTTATCACCTGGTATCAGAGTTAAAAAAATTAAGCAATATTCCCCACCCAAAAAGTAAAGAAAAAGCTGTATGCAACCCCTCAAAATCAAGAGAGATTAAATCTTTGTTAACTGGACAATATCTTCATTAAACGATTGGTTCTACAAAGACGGAATCAAGGTAAGCTGGCAGGTGATTCTCGAAGCGAGTTGTTAATCGCGGTGTTAACTTAATCCGAACTCCATTTACACCGACTCCTAGTTGGCAGAAGCCGCCGCTCAATGCCTGATTTTAACCTTTGTTAACAACTCCACACTGACAACTCGTGGCGTTTCTGGCCGGGAGGGGATTTTCCATTGTTGACCCACATAGCTCCCCAGAATTGTTATGGTAATTTACAACCTCCAGTTAAATATTTCAGCTGCACCCAACTGCAGCCCGCTGTGCGGTTGTTTATACGCGTATACTTGTATTGTGATCGAGTTGACAGTAGCACAAATTTTGATTGATGACGCCTGATTGACATTCGGGCAATTTGCTAATTCTATTTCGAGTCCCAGCCAGAAATTGTGTCGCCTTTTTTGTGGGTCACACTGTGGTTTATGCTCTCGGCTCTTGGGTTGGGAACATTTCTTGCACTAAAACGATCATTAATCATAATGAATTCGAGTGCAATTGCCGTCAAGTCTGAGGTAGTCATTCAAGGGGCCGCTGCTATTTGCTATCTGCCAGCTGTTAGCCGCTGCTAACAAGTAAATTAATAAGAATTATGTATGCTGGGTGGCTGTTAAGAGCGTAAACTTTAATTAACTTGGGCTGTCAGGTCGCGTCGGGCGATTAACATACGCGTATGCCTATCAAGTGTCTGCCATCAGTCTATAAAAATGGAAAACACGCGTATCCAGTGCTCGCAGCACTCGACTTAGCACTGGCACTCAAAGTCAAAGTGGAGCGGCAGCGGCTCCAACTAATTGAAATGCATTGAAAGTGCGTGAGACCAGTAACTGCAACTGGAACTGCAATGTGTTGCACTCGAAGAAAGCGGAAGAGTTTGTTATTTTATTGTTGCAGTTTGCCATAGTATCATGGCATTTAAATGGATATTTATCTATATTTTTATAAGATACTAATTTTTTGAACAAATCAAATTATATTTTCATCTCTACTTTATTTTATGTAAGGACACATTATGTTTTTCAAGTGTAATAACAAGCTGATACGAATGTTGCTGCAGCTGCGTGTGAAATGTCAAGCGGTTCAGACTCTGGCTAGTTGACATTTGCCAGTTTCAGTTGCCTGAAAACCACAACTTAATTACTCCCGTTCGATCGCCAAACTCCCGAAAATGTAACATCGTTTATCGGCATAATGTCGACTGCCATTATTTGTTGCACAACAGAAGTCAAAACATATAGAAAAAGTGACACTTGCCAATCTGCACGGTGTGATGTATGACGTTGACCTGATTTCGCCTGCTTTTTATTATCATTTCCATCTGCTGCATGTTGATTTCGCCCGTCTCTCTGTCTGTCAGCCGTTCTGTCAGTACAACACACCTTTCCGTGACGCGCCAACCGGCAATTTGTCTTTGCCTTTGGGGCGCCGTTTATAATAATTCATCGGGAAAGCTCGCTCATTCGTATTCGGGTGTGGGCAGCAAGTTCAAAGTGTTAAGTGTGATTGGCCAACATATGTAATACACGGCGTATACTTAATGTCGCTCACGACGACAATGCCAGCGAATCGGATTGGTCTTCTGACACGTCAACGAGCACAGTCAGGATGGCCGAGTGGTCTAAGGCGCTGCGTTCAGGTCGCAGTCTACTCTGTAGGCGTGGGTTCGAATCCCACTTCTGACAAGAACTTTTTTCGCTTTTTATTTATTTTCTACTAATTGCAATGGGCATAATTATATACGGTGGAGGGGTTTCTAAATTATGTAATTAAGGAAAAACGCTTGAGATAAACGTAATTTGGTCTGAGAAATTTCTTTTACTCGCTACTTTAACAGTCAGGATGGCCGAGTGGTCTAAGGCGCTGCGTTCAGGTCGCAGTCTACTCTGTAGGCGTGGGTTCGAATCCCACTTCTGACAAGAACTTTTTTCGCTTTTTATTTATTTTCTCCTAATTGCAATAATCATAATTACTATTGTATACAGTAAAGGGATTTCTAAATTAAGTAATTAAGGAACAAATCTTAAAATAAACGTTATTTGCTTTGAGCAATTTCTTTTACTCGCTACTTTAACAGTCAGGATGGCCGAGTGGTCTAAGGCGCTGCGTTCAGGTCGCAGTCTACTCTGTAGGCGTGGGTTCGAATCCCACTTCTGACAAACTTATTTTGCTGCCACGATTTTCCTTTGCATCTCTAAGAATCCTGACACAATGATCCCCATTTGTTTTCGAACAGCAATAAGCTAGACTTGGAGAATGAATACCCTGCTCAGGGGCGCCATAAAAATTACAAGTAAATCAATTTGTAGCCGCCTAATTGTCAATATTCCAATCACATAATCGGCTGCCAGTCAGCGATTGCCCCCGGCTGTCGGGCAGACAGATATAGATATAGACATGGGGACCACACACACAAACCCCCTGGTCTTGTCCGATCCGATCCCATGAGAATTATCGCCGTCTGGCATCGCCGCAAACACACAGCTCCAAGTCGAACTCATACCCATTCAGCTCAATCAGACTGAAATTAAAATGCTGACTGAGCGCGATTTCAGATGCGGCCCACTCAGTGGTTCGTGTGTTTTCACAATTGTTCTTGGGAAAACAGATCAGGCCCATCTGTAATTATGCTTCTGTGCGCTCGTAAAATGCAATCAACTGGCCAGAGACAATTGACAATTTGGCCAGCTACAAAAGCAAATATTCTTATAAAAAACAGCATTAAATTGTAGCTGTTAAACTTTTATTGCATTTGTTTTAGCACTATACCGACTTTGGAAAATTAAGGCGGGCCTGGCCATAACCGGCGGATGGGTCAATTGACAGGCGACGGCGACAGAAGCTGCAGTTTCCACCAGACAATGCAAATGGACGTCTCGGGAACATGAGTGATGTGACAAGTGGATGCTTATCTACGGCTCGACGCCCCTGTTTTTTCCAAGAGGCTTTCCTCCTTCGCCTGATGAGCAGCCATTGAAATTTATGACTTCGTCGAACAGCCAATTGATTGGCTTTTAAATATCCAAATGAATGCTGCCACTCGCAAATTGCAAAGCCATAATTAATGTCCACAAATCGCTGAACGCAAACGCCCGTACCAACACCTGCAGTTGTCTGGGTATACTTATTTATTTATGGAAAAGCTTTTAACACATTTTAAAGTTAATTTGGGGATGGAGAACTTGTCGCCGCAGCAGCAATGCTGCAAATTTATGGCAGTCAAAATTGATAAGCGCAATTCCTATCTAAATGCTAATTTCTGGCGGATCGCTCTAAAGTGGCAAGTTAAATATCAATTAAATAAGGTGGTTGGTATTGGCATATCTATTTCTAGTTAACATTATTTATGAAATGAACATTTATTTTCTGAGTTTACAATTTTACTTAGCTTTAATACATCGAGATTACATGTAAGACAATATTATATTTAAAGATTCCTAGTAAGTGTTCGAATGTTAAAATTTTTTAACTAGTAGCAGTGAGGGGAGGCTTTATTTTCAGTAAACTTAGACTAATGTTTATTACTCAACAATTTATAAAAAAATTCAAAACAAAATACAATTTTCTGGAAGTAATCATTTCCTATTTTGCCTAACAGGAGTGTTCACTGTGCTCCCCTGAAAGTTTCGCCTTATAAGCTTTCCACAGATCTCGCATAAAAAGCTAAAGACCGAACGCGCACCACCCCCTTTTGATACGCTCTCTGGCCGAACCCGAAACCAAGCTTACCACGCCGAAATAATAGCTTTGTGAGAACGCGAAGAAAGCGCCAAGCTTTCGGCCGGGAAGTGCCTTCGAGTGACGCACACCAAGCTTTCCGACAGTCGGCGCGCTGAAGTGACGTAGGGCAGAATGCAGAACAGGGCCGTAGAGCCCCCAACTAATTAGTAGATTAGCAGTGACATTATATTGGATCCCGTGGAAATCCGTCGCATTAATCGGAGCCGCCCATTGTATTCAACGACCCTCCGGTAAAAGCTTCCGGACATCGTTAGTTTTTGAAAAGCACGCGGTCGAAAAGAATCCGTAATAATAACAACAAGGGGTAAGGTTATTCAACCCACAAGAACAGCTTCAGTGCAGCAGGAGCGACAGAGACAGCGCAGCGCAACAGGTGACAGGTGAGTTGCGTATTTACTTAGTTAGCCCAGATATCGGACAAAGAAAATTAGAAGCAGCTACTTAATTTCATGGCATTTTGTAAATGTTTGACCACGCGGGGACCGCACAGTAAGCTCCAGTTCTACTTGAAGCTTTTTCATGGCTGTGCATTTAATTGGCACAGCTTTTTGGCTTAAACTGCTGCACCGCAAAAGCTTCCATACGATAAAAAAAAGATGCAGTTTTGTTTTTATTCTTGCACCAAATACTTGTGTATGTGTGTATGTTTATAATTAAAATAACTTCTTATGAGTAATGTGCCCCATTTGTCCAAATATAATACATAATTGCATTCAGTTTCCCCTGCTCAAGTTATGTTTATCACTTTTTTTCTAAGTATTTGATCTCAAAAGGTATAAGATAAGATAAGACAGAATATTATCAATGATTAGGTAATCAATAAATGTACATTTTGTAAAAAGGTTTCTTCTTGATAAAGTGCATCTTATAACTTCACGACCTAGGGTATTATTTCTTTTGTTTAAAGACCTCTCTTTTACTTATAGAAAACCACATCTATTTTATAAAAGTTAATCTTATTTTACCTATTAAAAGTTTTACTTGTAGAATCTGAAAATGGAAGAATCTTATATCTATTTTTCCAGATATTAAAAAAAAAAATCGTTTCAAAATTATATCTTGTAGGATTCTTAGGGGTTAATAAGCTTACCCTTCTTGTTAAATTTTAAATTGATCGATTTTGTTTTCGGTTACTGTCCTTATTGACGAACATTGAGTGGGAAGTAATACATATTTAGATACGATATTATTATTATGTATTACCTGGTAATATCTTAAGTATCTATTAAAATGAATTTTCTTTTTTCAGCATGAGCAGTTTACGCATTTGCCAAGCCATGTCCCTGAATCCCAATGCATCTTTAACCGAATCCGCCTCGGTATCGGAATCTGTATCCTCGAGGGTCTGTATGATGGGCTGCCAGCTGGAGAATCCCAAGGAGCTGCGTCGCTTTCCAGTCCATGATGTCGATCGGTGAGCATTACCAAGAACAGCAATCCCCCTTAGATGCTCTCCCGGAGCCCAGTTTAAACCTGTTTTTTATCCAGTAGAGAGAGCTTTTCGATCCGATCGAAGCTTACATCAGAATTAATGCCCATTCGCGATTCCCGTTCCCATCAAATCCGAAGCTTTGGCCTCCGCTCAACTCCCCCTCTTGTTTTTGCCCTCCTCCTCGTTGGTTCGCAGTCAAAGGCCATTGAACTTGCGCTTGCTCTCCGCGTGGAAGTGCATCGTTTTAATAGGGAAATTTCAATGCCATGGTGCAGAAACTGCAGCTAAAACGCAAGCAATTGTATGGATGGTGCCGCCATTATGGGGGAGTCGAAGTGTGGGTGGGGGTCGGGCTCGGGGTGTTTTCGCAGACTCGCGTCTATTTTTAACTCTCACGCTCTCCCGTAAGTGCAGCAAATGCGTGAGGGAGAGTGCCCCCCACCGCCCCAGATGCACCGCTCTGCTCTGCTGGCCGTGAAGTTCTTTAATTTTTCTTCGTCTCTAGTTTCGCAGTTGTTGGGCAAAAGCAAACAGTTCCGTCTGCCCAAAGTTACTTGGCATTGGCCATGGAGTTTAGGGTGGACCTCCATCAAAAGTCATAGCTTTTATTAATTTTGGTAATTTTTAAAAGTGAACTTTGATACCATCGCTAATCTAGCAGACATTGAAAGGTTCCCTATTTTATTATTAACAAGAAAGAAAACTAACTTTGGCCAGCCAAAGTTTGTATACCCTTGCAGGTAACAATTAAAATATATCATAACTAAGCCAAAAATGCATTAATTTCGATTCGGAAAGCAGTTTTGTGTTAGTTTTTATCAATTTAAAAAAACTGCATACCAAATTTAAAATTTTAAGAAATCAAAATTTTTGGCCCTTTTTGCTAATTTTAACGATGTAACCCCTTATCAAACTTCGCAAAAATGGCCAAAAAATCGATTTCTTCCGGACATGACTAGAAAGATTCGCGTGTTAATGCTGATTAAGAATATATATGGTTTATGGGGTCGGAAATGATTCCTTGACTTAGAAAAATATTTTGTATTATAAAATGGGATTTTTTATATTAAAAAACTTCTTAATTTTTTTAAAATTAAAAATATCATAACTCGGCCAAAAGAGCATTAATTTTAAATCGGAAAACTGCTCTGTGCAAGATTTTCTACAGTTAATAAATCTGCATACTTCATTTAAAAATTTTGAAAATTTAGTTTTTTATCAAAATCAAAAATTTTAATGATGTAACCCCTTATAAAATTTTGCAAAAATGGCCAAAAAATCGATTTCTTCCTGACATATCTAGAAAGATTCCCCTGTTGATGCTGATCAAGAATATATATGGTTTATAGGGTCGCAAACGTCTCCTTCACTGCGTTGCAAACTTCTGACTGAAATTATAATACCCTGCAAGGGTATAAAAACTACCAACTCACTTTCATCGTCATACGTATGTTTTTGTTGACATTTCAAAAACGTTCTTTCCTTATGATAAGAAACTGAGATTAGAAGGGGCTTTTTTTTTGTTATTCATTATCTCTATAAGCTTTGGATGATTCTTAGAGCGTGGGAAAAACATTTCAATAAAGTTATTAATGGTGTTCTTATTATAAGAAAAGCTATATTTAGTAGTTTTATTTTATTTAAATATTGTCCAATTTTCAACACAATTTTCAATTGCAAAGATACATATGTATCTGCTTTACGCCATAGGTTTCTAAAGATAAAGTATCTATGCGCTTTAGCTTCAACTCCTACAATTGGGTACACCTTAATATACTTCCATAAAACGAGTAGCAAAACAATAACAACAAAAAAGGAGGAAGTTGACTTGAGCAGAAGCTGCAACAGCAACAACAACAACCAATGCAATTGCAACAAAAATGTGCGGCAAAACATCCGCTCTGTCGGGCGAAAGCACAGCACTGTCTCCTTCGCACAGTCAAGCAGAAACAGTGAGTGTGCAAATGAAAGGCACTGTGGGGAGCATAAAAAGAGCTTTTTAAAGAACTTTTGGGAGAGCAAGTAGCGACAGCAAGTCGGATCTAATTGAAAGCTACAGCGGGAAAAGAACAAAACTCCAAATGCAGTTTTCCAGTAAACAAAGAACCGCTCAACCGATCGCAACGCTCTCTTGCCACCGCTCATTCTTCCGATAATTGGTATGAAGTGCTAGTTGTTGTTGTTGTGTATGTCTTAAATAACTGAGAGCTTTCTCGAATCAAAAGAATTGAACTAAGCTTTTCAACTCCGGAACAACTTTAATTGTGGAAATTCTTTAATTGCAGCTGCAAACTCTGGCTGCGTCACTTCGGTATCAGCGAGAAACGCTTGGATCAGCTCGGCGGCCTGCAAAAGCTGCGCATCTGCCTCAGACACTTTAGCCACCGCCAAGAGATGGCCAAGACCCGCATCAAGATGACGCCGCTGCGCAAAAGTCCCAAGGGAATAGTGCTATCCAATAACTCGGGCTCATTCGGAAGCGCAGGAGCAGGAGGAGTAGGTGGACTTCAAGGAGGAGGAGGTGCAGCCAAGACGGTGGTGAACAGCACAACCATTGGATTTGTAGACGTGAGTTTGGCTACCAATTATTTAATTTCTTCAACATTTCTATAACAATCCCCTTGTTCTTGCAGAGTTCTACTAGAGATATGGAAAAGCCGCAGCTTCAGACCAAGAACCCGACCATCATTATGCCCACTATGCCGCAGCGTTCGCATTCTATCAGTTCCTCGGCTTCTAGTGATGTGCAGTCCATAAATTCAGACTACGAAGCTTCACTGCCACTGTCCACCTTGGTGGACACCCAAAACGGAAGCAATAATCGAACTGAGAATGGGCAACCGAAGAAGAGGAAACTCTATCTGATCACTGAGAAATCCGATGAGACCAATGGCCATATTTTGGAGACCAATGGACAGCCCAAAAAGCGTAAGATGTTCGTGGTGGTGGAGCAGGAAAAGGAGTCCTCGACTGGCAAGAAACTAATGATTGTTACCGACAAGCCACAGGCTGATCTCACCCAGCATTTGGAGAAGCTGCTGCCCGAGATACTGAATCGCATACAGGACAAGGACAAGCAGAAGCAGATCAAACCCACTCCTGTGGTGGCTAAGACCAAGCCAGTGGTGGTTAACAATCCCACGGTTATCACCAGACCCCACATAACGTTGCCGCCCAAAAAGAATCCCACAAACTTTGTAAAGCTGGCAGCCATGCCGCCGAGTCCAGTGCCTTCTCCAGTTCAAATGCCACTTCCAATGCAGAATAACAAACACAAGACTATTGAGGAGGAGGAACCCATCAATCCTGAAGAGATCGAGACTAATATTAACCTGTCGCCGGATTTCCGCTTCCTCATGAAGATCCTACCCAAGCTGGAGCAGCTGCCAGAGCCGCACAAGCAGAACGTGAAGCGATCCATTCAGATTTTTGTGGAGAAGAGCTACAGTATCTACGGCCAGAAGGATTAATCAGTTAACCAGTATTGAAACTAAGATTTAATTACCATTTTTACGGCAGCCGAGTTCCCATTATCATAACCCGCGAAGGGCATTTTACATTTTGTTGTCCAAGACTGAAGCAGAACCAATATTAATTAATTTAAGCAAGGGCGCGGAGCTGGAGCAGCTCCCCCATTTAGATAAGTCACTCTACAAAATTTGATATTACCCAAATGAATGGCGGTTTCTGGGTAGTTTTTGAAAGCCATAAACTTAAAGTTAAGATTGAAGTTCTTTCTATATTGAATATACGAAAGCATTTGCTGAGCTTAAAAAGAAAACAATTCAAGTTAAATGCTGTTTTACTGGGGGGGAGTATCTAAGGAAACCTGTAGAATGGGTTAAAGAATTGATGTACCAAATTTCAGAACGTTTCGTCAAGACGATTTGGAGTTATCGACTTTCAAAATGGAACTTTTCAGGAGAGCAAACTACCTCTGTTAAAATAATCATAACTTCGTCAACTTTGTAATGATTGATGTGAAACTTTGACCAAATGTTCTTAACATATTGGACATTCATAATAAAAAATAAAAATATATACGAAACAAAATTTAAATACCATATCCACCCCTTAATAAATAACACCTTTAATTTCTTTTATCGTATCTTTTTGGTTTTTTTTTTTTTGTTGTTATGTTTTTTGCATTGTAATTCCAAAGAACTTTATTTAGTTTGAAAGCATTTTTTACGATCTCGTCCTTTCTTTTCTCGTTTGTTACGTTATAATAATATTTAGTAAGTCTAATGCGGGTTTATTTAGTGTGTGGTTGGGTTTAGTTTAGTTAATACAATGGTTAGTGTGTGTCATTACGATTTTCGTGTATGTAATTAATGCAAGGTTCTGGATTTTTGGCCATCCTTTCGATGGCGTTTTCTAATTTACACTTCCTTGCAGACAGAAGTTAGTTGTTATTGGCTTAGTATCGTTTTTCGTTAGTAATGCTATGTGGCTAATGCGGTTAATACGCACACACACAACACACATATGCATTTGGTTAATTACATATATACAGTTAAACAGTTGATGTTTAAGTTTTAAACACTTTGCTTGCGAATCGAGGAAACCAAATTGTGTTTTTGTGTGACCTTTGATTATTAGGGAACTTTGTTGCGTGCTTTTATTGGATGAGGAGATTTTCTACATGAGAGGAGAAATTTAATTCCATTTCGAGTGCTACAATTATATAATCGCGTCATATAATATATATATATATATTCTTTTTACAACATTTAGCAAATTTCCCACATAAACTCGTATATCGTATTTTTCGGTTAAGCTTTTTGCCTTCGATTTATAGTTTATATAATTTAATATATATATATTTATTTCGTGTTTGTTTGTTAACTACTTTTTGGTTGTGGCCTACAATTAGCATTTCGGGTTAGCGTATCGAGTGTTTTTTACATGCTTTTTATAAGAAAAAAATATTTGCCCTTCTACGAAACATTTATGTCATCATCCTCGGTCTATTCGTCAATGAGAAGCAATCACAAAGTTTTTCTCTAAGTTTATGTTCGTCGATTACAATAGGTATTTACATATTTTTTGTTGTTTGTTCAGAGTGTCATGGGATTAGTAGTACTTCAGTGTAAGCAAAACTACAGGCTACGCTTTTGCGGTCAAGTTGAAAATGCTCCTTTTACACATCGAGTCAATCATGGGATACTACCGAGTGTGTGGGTTAAAAAAACTGTGTCACAATTTCTACAAACAGCCTTTTGTTAAACATGTTAAACGTACATCTATACGAATATCTGTTATATCTGTTATACGTTAGCAAATTAGAGTTATATATATTGTAGTTTATATGAGTATTCTTTAGTTTTTACATTTTATAACCTGAGCGCAATCATTTTTTATGGTTCACTCTACCAATTCGTGACCAAAAATTCAAATTTCAATATTTTTTTCCAATTGTCCTTGTTCAATCTCCTTACCAATTAAGTGTATGCCTTCCAATACATATATATTTTTGGGTATTATTATGTGTGTGGGTTACCTGTTTTCTAATACAAACTTGAAGAAATCTGTAGGGTGTGTTGTTTGCTTTTAATCTCAAAATATTGTCCACAGGTAAATATCGTGTGTCCCATATATATATATATCGTATATAGTTGGTTTTTCACAGTGTTACATACATATAGCTATAAATTCTAATTAGCAAATGCATTGGGTTGTTGAGTTGGATCCACTTCAAGTAATGCGCGACAAATGAAACAATTTGGATTCGTTTTCTTCTCTTTTTTTTTGTTTTGTTCTTATTTTTTTTTATACAAACAGTTTACACAGTGTTTTCTTGTTTTTATTCGTTCAGTTAAACGTAAATTAATGCGTAATACGTATCTAATATATATATATATATATAGTTAAGAATGATCCGTAAATCGGTTTACAAGTCAAATACTATAATGCAGATCCTTAACTTATGAACTCATAACTCGAACTTGAAATCATACATCGCTTAATATATCGAGTGTGTGATTTACTTTAGGTTTTAGGTGTAAAGTTTTATGTTTTAGGTTTTATGTTTTAGTTCCAGACCTGCTCAAATCGAGGGTGTGTTGTATAATGTACATGTCCATTACTTATCGTACTTACTGTTCTACACAGAGATGGATAGATAGAGAGAAATGTGGGCTAATTATTGGTGGGGATGGTGGAGATAATGTTATGTACACGAAAACTAACTGTCTCTCTACTACATATGATTTGGGACAAGTGTGCTTCAAGATGTGGGATGTAAAATGATGTATAAACCCTAACTTGCATTCGAGTGTGTGGTGTGTGCTGTTCAAATGAGGGATAAATCTGTACTCTATATTATTTATGGTTAAGAAAAAACGTTAGTTTATAAAACAAAAGTTGAAAAGAAATTCTACATTTTGCACAATGATTTCTGCCTTTGCTTTGCTTTTCATTTCTTTCATTTCATTTCGTTTTTGTTTTGTTTTTGCTATGAGATCTCCGTGAAAGTTTTGAATTCATATTTGTTTTTCATTTTCATTTTCGTTTGTTTTTCTTTTAAGCTAGTCCATACATGTATATATCGGTTAATATATATATATATAATGCTATAATTAATAACTACATACATATACATAAGAAAGCAGCACAGTTAAGAGAATCGAAGTGTTTAGAGGAAAAGTAGTTTAGTGTTTTTCAGTTGCAGTAACTCTAGTATCTCCTCCGATTATATATATATATATATATATATATATTCATGCGCTGTGTGTGTTTTTTATTTCTCTAAACATTGAAGACGAAACGAGACATTCAAAATACACTCACACATATATATATATATATATTTTGTAACGGTATACATTGCGTTTTTCGTTTTTAATTTCGTTTAGTGCTTAGGCTTAAGCTACGTAAAACCAAAGTTTGACATTTCATATATTGCATTTCCTCAAAATTAGTTAATCAATCAATCGATCTGCATCTGAATCAAGGTCAAATGAGAAAACTCAGTCTTAAACATACATATATAATGTTTCTCCGTAGCCATTTGATCCTCTATAACCGATCCTGTCCTCCTGCACCTTAGCGATGAGCATTGAGAGAGAGACAGAGGTGTGTTTTGTGTGTGTGTGTGTGTGTAGTTAAGTCGAAAAATTAAACTATATTACATTGGTAAATCAACTAAAAGCAAAAGGTAGTATATATGTATATGCGTTATAGCAACTAAAATCGAATTGATTCGGGCGTTGCCTTTGAATGGAAACCAAACTTGGCTGCGAAACACCCGAACCATTCACTGGGCAGGGCAGTGTGTCGTCCACTTGTTGGTTTTTCCTTTTTTATTCGTAACATTTAGGCAAAATATGCTTCAAAAAAAGAACCCTAACAAACTATTATCAAAGCGAAAAAATTGTCATAACTAAGGTTAAGTTGAAATTGTTTAGATTATATTTTATTTTATATATATATTAGTTTATATCGTAATTTTTTGTTCAGTCGACAGTTGAAACTTTGAACTAATTTCCCTTTTCCATCTAATATTGAGTTAGCTCTGACTTCTTGTCAAGTCAGACACACATTTTTTTGGAGTATATATATGTATCTAGAAACCAGTTTCAAAATTGAAGCTTCAAAGTATATATAGTGGCATTATCTTTCGATTCGTTAGCTAACAGAAATTGAATTTTTAATCCCGGGTTTGTTGCTCGCTTTGAGGTAAATTTTTGGCAAACAAACTTTGTGGATTTGCGTGCTCGTTACTATTTGTTATACTTTAAATATATGGATATATATTTATCAATATATTTAATAGTTAAGCATTTATTTATATATATATATAATGAATACGATGTCTGTGTGTGTGTGTTTGCTAATTAATTTACATATACATAGAGTTTCTTAGGAGCTTAAACATAAAACGCGATTTTGTGGGTTTTTTTTCGTATTAATTTTTAGCTTGAAATTTCAATCAAATTCTTCTTCCAATTCTTGTCAAAAGCACAACAAAATGTGTTTGCTTTGTTGCCGAAAAATAGTATTATATTATTTTTTATAGATTCTACGCTTTGCTCGTAATGCGTAATATCCTTACTTTCACTTTAAACTTGCTGGCTTTGTGTCTCTGCTGCTGCTTTTTAACTACAGTTTTGTTTGTTTGTTTAGACTAGTTTCAGTTGAGTTACGTTACACATTTGTCTCGTCTACAGTTACTATTAAATATTTTTGTTTTGCTTTAAGTTAATTTCGGTGGTGGAATGCTTTAACCCTTAAGCAGGCAGAAGTTGCTTGCTTAAAAGCCGTTTGGCGCCTCACAAATTATTATTATTCCATCGTTGTTCCTGGCTGCTTAGTTATTGGGGGGGGGATCCTGCTGTGTGGGAGTCTCCTTCTTCCTCCTCTTTCGGCGAGTGTGTTTATCATTTGGCTGAGTTGTTGCTTTTGTTTCGATTTTAGGCAGCAATCGCCTCATTTTGCCGTCATTCCCACTGATGAGGCGACGGCGGCAGCTCCGAGGGGTGTGCCACAGTCGAGCTGTATATTCAAGGATACAAAAATAAAGGCATTTTAATTTCGAGTTGAAGAGTTGAAAATATCTATAGCAACATCTAGTTTAGTTTAGTTTAAATAAGACCATGCCATACATACATATAAAAATACACTCAAAGCTTTAATCAAAACACAAAGAATACAAATAAAATACAGAAATATATATAGAACATATAGCTCCCATAAATAAAAAACAAATGAAATGAAAATGTACAAACAGAGGACTACGGAATAGTAGAGTTCTTGGGCTTGGAGAGAGAGAGGGGCTCAAAATACAAAGTAAAAATTTGGTTAATCAATTAATTCATTAAGTGGTAAGTTGTTCAGCGTTCAAATCTACTTCAGTTCTTTCTTTCATCTTTCTGGTTTCTTTTGATTCTTTTTATTTTTTCTGGCTTTGTCACTGCTGCTCAACTGCACTTGTTGTAAGCTGTACAAATATATATATATTTTTTTAGGATGTTTAGTTCAGTGCAGTTTTTATAATTTGATTTAAATGAGGCTTTTTTTGGAGGGTTATGCAGGACTACAATGACAAAAGCTAAATGATTGCCTGATTTTGTGCTTAATATTTATTTTATTTACACTTTAAATTCATGATTTAATAAATGCCTTTGCTTTGGCATTTAGAATATATTTTTTTCCATTATTGTTTTGATATTTTCTCTAAAGCCAGGCAAAAAAACAAATGAATATTAAATATTTAATAGGCTTTAAAAATTGTTTAACAATGTCTATTGTTTTCGCGGTGTTTCGGTGCAGTTTTGTAACAATGAAAGGGGGGAAATGGTCTGTGTTTGGGCTTAAATGTCGAAATGAGGCTTAATATTTACTTGATGGAATCTGTATGCTGTACACGAATTACAAATATATAGGTATATATATGGATATATAGTAGATATATGAGTTGAAACACAAAACATAAACACAAAATTCGATTATGGAGCAGGGGGTATATATTTTATGCATGATTTTTCTATATTATTTTGTTGTTTAATTTTGTGGTTGGCTTTATAAAATAGTTGAAAATGTCTCGGTATGCTTTTAATTTCTGTTTTTTTTTCCTGTTTCCATTCATGTATGTAATATCCTTGCCAATTTTGGTAATACTTTTCTGCGACATTTGTAAACAATTTTATAACTTTTCTGGTTAGATGTCCGTAAACATTTATGTACACAAAAAAGAGTTACGCAAAAATACCCATTTAAAAAAGAGATGAAAATTATAATAATAAACGAAAATTAAAAAGTTAATCATAAGGGAAAAAGTTAAAACTAAATAAGTTATATGTTTTTTTTTTTCTTTTTTGTTTTTTATACACATTTGCATAAGGTTTAAGAATAAAGAGGTAAAAACAAAAGTTATAAACAAAAAAAGATGATAAACTAAATAAATAAATATTTAGTAAGGTTTTCGCTTTATATATCAACAGACCTAAGAAGGAGCAGAGAGAGTCTGTTGCCGCCCGAGAGGCCTCTTTTCTTTTTCTGTATTCTGTATATCTGTAATTGTATCTTTCTTAATCTTGATTCGCGACTCCTCACAATCATCATTCTCATTCGATTCGCTTCAGTGACTCATTGATTCAGAGCCAGGCGGGGGGACAGTATCTTGTGACAGTAAGTATCTTCTGCTTCTGCGTTTCTATATATCGTTTCGTTCTAGCGAGAGCGAGAGAGAGAGAGGAGAAGCGCGCGCCTAGGATCCCGATCTGGAGCAGCGGCGGCGGAGTGTGGAGCAGCGGCAGGAGCAGCAGTGCAAGTTGTAGTGGTAGTAGTAGTGGTAGTGGTAGTAGTAGTAGATATTCTCATTCTCATTGGCTTAACAACGCAAATATAACGATTCGATTTAATAGAAATTTCAAGATTAATATCCATTGGTTGAACAACAAAAATAAAAGAACAAACATAAAAAAAGAGATTTAAAATATTTCAAAAATAAGGTTACATAAATAATAATCAAGAGACGGAGTTCGGGGATATATAGAGAGTTATAAAGAGTTGGGTTTTTGGGGCAGGACAGATACAACAATTTAGTGGGAAATTTGGGGTACAGAGAGAGCATTACTAAAGCGGAAGTTTGGGGGGGACACGGAAGCCATGATCAATCAATTTTTTATATCAACAAAAAAGTAAAGAATTAAAGGTTAACAAAAAAAATATATAAATAGAAATTAGATATACAATTTTGACTAAAAGTAGGTAAATTTCAATAAAAGGGTTTGGACAGGGGACTGCGTGCAGAGTTTTCGGGGGTATTTCAATTGGGTTTTTGGTTTTGGGGGGAAAAAAGAGAGAATTTTCTAGGTATAATCCTCCAACACACTCACCTGGCGAAGCTCTTGAAGGCCGCACTCTGCGGATTAATGCAGAGCGGCACTCGACCCGTTTGCAGCTGCTCGGCTATGAACTTGTGCATCTCCTCTGCAAGTTTTTAAAGCGTATTTGAATATATAGTTTCTGTTTTATGAATATATAACCGATTTGTACTCACCCTTGACCTGCTGCACAGAGGTGAGCTTGCGCTCCCAAAGATCATCAAAGGGCTGGCCCGCGGAGGGCTCAAAGTCAGCTGTGTATTGGCGCATTCCGGCCGAGGTAGTGAAGCAGCATTTGCACATGCAAGAATGATAGCGAAGACGACCCTCATCTAGATACGGATGCGCCAGGGCATCTGTTACGGAAATGCGCTTGTCCTAAAAATGGGAAAAGAATGGTTGAAAAATATAAAACTAAGCCACAATTGAGGATATTAAATTAATGAATTTTAGAACATTTTTTTTTTCTTAATTTTAATTTTAGTAAATTTTAATATTTTCTTTACAACTTTATATATTTATAAATATATATTTAAGAATTTTAGAAATTTTTAATCTTATTTTTTAGAATTTTTGAAACTATTAATCTGTTTTTTTTTTACAAGAAAAGCTACTTCAGGCATTTAAAAAATTTCCAACTTTATTTAATATATTTTTAAATATTCTTAAATATATTTTTATAAATTTATAAATATATTATTATTAATATAAAAATATATATTTAAAAATTAAAAAAAAAAATATTTATTGGAGAATTTTAAAAAGTTATAATATTTTTTTTAAACCTTATTCATAGCAACAGCTACTTCAGGCTTTTTAAAAAATTCCTAAAATTCATTTAAAATATTTTTAAATATATATTGAAGCCATAGCTTACCGGATCAAAGACGAGCATCTGGCAGAGCAGGTGCACGGCCTCGTGCGTGGCATGTGAACTGAGTGTGTAGAGCACCGAGAAGGAGGGCGGCTTGGGTGCGCGACGTAGCATATGGGTGCGTGCTCCCTCGCAAGCATGCCGCATATCCTCCATGGTGGGCGTGCCCAGCAGCTCTGTGATCAGCTCCAGCTGCTGGACGGGATTCTGCGCCTGGAATAGGATTCGGCGGCCAAGCAGCTCGCCGAAAATGCAGCCCACCGACCATACATCCACCGCCGAGGAGTAGTGGCGGGCGCCCATAAGGATTTCCGGAGCCCGATAGTACTGGGTGACCACCTCCTGGGTCATGTGCTTGGCCTGATCCGGTTCCTCCACACGCGCCAGTCCAAAGTCACAGATCTTGAGGACACAATTCGAGTTGACCAGCAGATTGCCAGGCTTGATGTCGCGATGCAGGATGCGGGCCGAGTGCAGATACTTGAGGCCGCGCAGGATCTGGTAGAGGAACACCTTGATGTGGTCAGCGGACAGGTGCTGCGGCGACACGATTATCTTGTGCAGATCCGATTGCAGCAGCTCCGTTATCACATAGCTATATGGATCGATTCAGAGTCGAGGTTAAGGTGGAAACCAGTTCGATAGTTCGACATGCGAAAAGAACAAACAAAAACTTTGCAGCTAACTACTACTACCTCTTCCCGGCCCTTTTTTGGCTTGTTTGTTTGTGCTTAAAAACTTTTTCAATTAGTTGCATTTGCTTTTAGCCCCAAAAAACTTTCCACAGAGAAGCCGGCACTTTGCAAAATCAAACAGATTTATTTTTTGGGTTTTCTGGGGCTTCGGAAAGGATTCATTAAATATTTGCAGTTGATTGTTAGTTGAAATATGTTTTTGGGAAGCAAGATGCAAAATTATCTTTGTTGCAAGTTTTGGTAGGAAAATAATAAGAAAAAAAAAGTTAACTCTGGGTGGTTTGATTTATCTTTGCAGTTTGCCATCTAAAATCGATCATAACTAGAGCAAAAATGCTTTAATTTCAATTCGGTAAGCTGTTCTAAGTTAGTTTTTATAAGGTTAACAAATCTGTGTACTGCATTTCACATTTCAAAAAATTAAAATTTTTGCGAATTTTTCAATATTTTAATGATGTAACCCCTTATCAGATTTTGAAAAAATTGATACATTTTTTTTTCTTGCAAATATGCCTAAATCGACTCAGCTTTTAATTCTGATCAAGAATATATATGATATATAGGGTCGGAAATGACTCCTTCACTGCTTTTTAAGCTTCTGACTGAAATTATTATGCCCTGCAAGGTTATAAAAAGGAAGAAAAGCTATTACCATGACCCCCTAACTTGGCTAATTCACTTTGTTTTAATTAAACAGTGCTAAAGGCAGGCAAAATGTTGCAATAACATGTTGTGCAACATAGAAATAAAAAAATGTTGCTAAGAACTTGTTAGAAAACAGACATGAATGTTATTAACAAAATTGGTAACTCGAGCTCTTAGTCTCTGAGATCTGCTGTTTCACACAGACACACGGAAGGACGGATATATCTTTGGAAACCGTGTATCAAATAAAAATAATAGGGAACAAATTATTTTGAGTTAATTTTCAATTTGAAGCAGCTTTAAAGATCTTAAATTTTAATTTATTTTCTGCAGTTTTGTGAGGCTAAAAATATCTTGAAATATATATTCATTACACCTTCATTCTAACATCAAAAATTTAAGAAAAATGTTATAAAAAATTAATCTAAGAGTTGTAAATAACTCCCCAAAAACCAATATAAATTAACCCAGTTTTACACCCTAGCTTAAAAAGTGTAAAAATGAGTTTTATAGTTTCGTTTTGTAAAAGGATACATTTCTTGGAAGAAATCCAAATGCGGTGGCTGTAGAATGTCCAGGGCCGAAAGAACCTGTAACATAAAAGAAAAGATATAATTAATTAATTAAATCAAGCCAAGCCAATCAATATTCATATTCATATTCACATTCATTGTCGTTCAACCTGCAATACGAAAGCTCGACAAGTTTAAAATGAAATCCCTAGACAATAAGGTCGACCAACAGTTTACACCTCATTTGAAAGGGGATTACGTGGGGCTGGGGGCCATAAATTATGGAGTTGCAATAAAAATCAAGTTGCATGTTAAGTGTCGCTGCCGGGACATTAAATGCCTGCAGACAAAAAAAAAAGGAACAAAGGGAAGCCAGTAAGGAAATTGTTGAACCCTTGCTTGCCTGATGATGTTGTACTATACCGATGCAGAGAAATACAAAAAAACACGCCAAAGTCTGGGCTTCTACATTGGGGGAGGACGCCAAGTCCGAGGAACTGACGGACAGCAAAATACAAAATATATATACAAAACCAGTGGGGAAAAAAGCTGAGGCTAAAGCAGAACCAGACAGACAAGCGCTGATTTATTTTCGCTTGCGGTGAAGAGATGACGAAGGAACTGCAAGGCAATCAAATCAAAAAATCTAACAGAAGGCAGAGCTTAACTCCTCACTTTTAAGGTTTTTACACGGCAAGAAAAATTATAAAAAATTTATTATTAATATAATATTAATCTTTATATTCCATTGTTTAAAATATAAGTATTTCCATAATTTTAATGGAATTTCCAGAGCACTGTGAAAATACTTAAGTATAAATCAGAGCTTGGAGCTTCAAAATAATCACCAAAAATCAAAAATCAACCTCCAAGCATGTCTTAATATTTTATTTAAATTTTACAAGTTGTATCTTTTAATTAGTTTTATTATATTTGGTTTTAGTTTATATTTCATAATATTTTTTATTGTATTTTATTCCTGCAATGTAATATTTTTTTTTTAATACTTCCAAAACTATGGCTAACACATAAACTTTATTAAAAATATCACATTTAAATTTTAAAATATAATTTTTTCTTTGTGTGCATTTAAAATCAATTTACAATATTTATACAACTCCAGTTGGGGGGCTGCAAAATGCGTAAACTGACCGAAAAAAAGGTAACAAAAAATAAAGAAATGGGAATAAAGAGCGCAGCTAAATCCGCTGTGGTAGCAACAAAAAAATATATGTTGCCAGCCACAATGTTGCACATTTAACCCCCTCTTGCCGACTGTCGGCAGTTGCCAAAGCCAAAAGCAGTTCAACAATTTTGAGCACTTTTCGCGGGACATTGCGAACGAAGGCAACAACAAAAAGTGCCGACAACTTTGGCTCTTGGTTACTGGTTTTTTTTTGTTGTTGGTAAGCCTTTGCCGTCTTCAAGTCTGAATCTCCGTCTCCGTCTTAAGTGGCAAAGTTTTTTTTTCCTCCTCTACAGGAGCGACGTGAAATTCCCCCTCAACCTAAGCTCGTTCTTGGCTGCCTTTGTTTTATATTTATTTCTTTGTCCGCTCGACTCGACGGCTCCGGCTGTCTGTAAATTCTGTAATATTTCGAGACTGCCGCTGCTGTAATTTAGCGACTGCATTTGTTGCGTTTTGCGGTTTGAAAATAAAAATACAACAAAATGAGAGTTTAAGCTGATTAATATGGGTTTTTTGGATACTCTATTGGTGAAGGTTTTCTTGTCATACTTGAAAATATAACTTTCCTTTCACATAAAACTTTCCTCTAAATTTAATTAGCAGATCACCTTGAAATTCGTGTTATGCCTCTGGGGTTTATAGATATTGCACAGTCATCATGACCAAAAATCTCTTCCCCATCTAACTTTTTGTAGGGTATAAAAAAACGAATCTAGAGTTTTTCTGATTGTATTTTGTAGTTGTTGCTGTTGTTGTTTTTTCGGTCAACTTCATTTACTGCACTTCACCTCGCTGCACTGCACTGCACTGCACTTCAATCCACTTAACTTAACAGCGCAGGCGCGTAATTTGCTGCCGCGGCGGAGTTGTTATTGTTATGGCCCGGGCTGCATTATTTTTTTTTGGGGTCTCACGTGCAACAGCACGGCGGCTTGCAGCTAATTAACATTTTGGCTTGGGCTTGCAATCAGAAACCAAATTTATGCATTGTGCACCACCGAAGGCAGCTTCAAGTGCCCTTGAAGAGTTGTTACAAAGACGAGGTTGGAACTGAGGGGGGGGGGAGTTACCAACTTAGTATTAACAAAAAATAGAAAAGAAAATAGCAGTAGCTAAACTGGGTTGAGTTTTGAATTAGGTTGCACGGAAAATAAATTTGTTTTTAAAGTCTATTACAATGGGATTTAATTTAGGTGATTTTTCTGGAAGTAATTAATTACTAAAATCAATATTAATATAATTTAAACCTTTAAAAAGCATAAAAACCTTACATCCCAAGACATATTCTAAGGTATTAGGTATTTTTTATGGAATTTAATACTTTGAGGCCTCTTTTTGTTTTTTTTGTAAGGTATAAAATACAACACACATTTTCAAATGATTTTCCCTTAAACCTAATATTATACCTTGTTGATTTGATCACGATTTTTTTCATGTGTATTTATCAAACAGTTTCTAGTTAAGCACAGCAGAGAAACAAGTGAAACTTGTGTTCAACTTGCAACCAGCAGCTGTGGCACAGAGATGCCACAGTTGTTGTTGTTCTTGTTGTTATTTAACCCACCTAAGGCTCCCCGCACCACCCTCTTTCAACCCAGTGGGCGCGGGAGCAGCTTGTGGACAACTTCCTCCTCCTCTTCTCCAGTTTCCCCAGCTCTAAGCTTCCAGAGAATTTTTCCCCTTGCCTTGGGAAAACAAAAGCAAAAGTGTCACCGCTTCGACTTCACAAGTATTTTCATTCCAAGCTGAGGGACAAATTTCTAGCTAAAAGATTGTCAAGCAGCAGCAGCAGCAGCAGCAGCTGTCAACACATATTTGTTGGCTAATTAAATGAGAAGAGGGGCTGTAGCGAGGGGAAGGGGAACTCCACCGAAATTGACTATTACAACTTGGAGACAAATATAAAAAATACAAGAATAAACCTTGGAAAGAGCAACAATATAAATTTACTTTGATTACTCGCTGTTAGTTACTGTTTACAGAGAAACTTTACAAGTAAGTTTAGTTGTGTTTTGTTATTTGTTCTTTTTTGGTTTTATTTTCTGGGTTATTTCCTGTGTGATAGGTATCTTTAAATAGAGAACAAGATGAGAATGACATTAAAAAAATATAAAATGATCTTTAGATATGGCACAGAATCACGGAAAATAATTATTAGGGAATATTTTTTAGTAAAACTAAACTTTCAGCGTTATAAAATCAATATTTGTAAAGACTTTTTAGTAAAACTAAAATAAAAAACCTTTTAATAACAATTCTCTCAAGTGTTCAGCTTATTATTCAGATTCCTAGACCTATAAAGTCTCCCCATATTCATAGATCTTCCTTTACCCCAACAAACTCCTCTTAAAAAATAGGCTCTTGTGCATCTGAGATATGCAATTTCCCTTCTAAAATCAGCATTTATAGCTCTAAGCCTTATAAATATATATGTACGTACATATATCCCTCAAAAAATCCAAATGAAATTGACATTTCAATTGCAAAGCAATGTGAATAATAACAAAATTTGCATGCAATTGATGCTGCCAGCGCGTCAAACTCAATCATTTTCGGGCGGAAAAGGGAGCCAAAGTCAAGATGTAGACAGAGTCAGATGAGTAGGGGGACACAGGCAGCTTCGAGGCTAAAATAAAAAATACAAAAAAACGTCTGCCTCGCCCCGAGTTGCATGTGAGAAATGCTTTTGAAATGTGCGCCACGTACGCGTTGCAATAAGAAATGAAATACAACAACAAAAAATCATTTGAAAATCGTTTTTTTTATTGAAATTTCGGGTTTTATTTTTGTTGTGCAACAATAATATCAAGGGATAATGGGGCGCAAACATTTTGCAGCGATTTGTTAAACTGCAAAATGCATAAAGCATGAGGAGGAGTTATTTTAAATCGAAGAAGCGAAGATTTGATTGATTGAAAAAGGGTTCAAGGTAATGACTGAAATTTAAGGAATAATTTCTTAAAAATATAAATTTTTGAGCTTTTGAATTTATTTATTTCTTATATATTCATTTCTTCACAACAATTTTAGTGTATAAAATATATTCTTCAAGCATCAATCAAAACTTACTCCACCTTTAATTTCCCTCCATTTATCAATTCAAATATTCAGTCATTGCCTGACCTCTATGTGCCGAAAAATCAATTGAAAAATGATTTCCTCTCCTTCCTTCCTGTGCCCTTCGCTTTCGATAACTTAGAACTTTCGAAATGGAGGAACCTACATTGATTGAGTTATAAATAGTTGAGTTGTTCATGGAGCCCCCAATTTGCAATAAAATGCAAGGCAGCCACGTGCCGAGCCCAGTAAATTTCCTTCTTGCCACCCCTCTCAGTTAGCAACTTGTCTGGGGCCACTATTCCCCCCGCTCTTACATCCCATCATTCCGACGCCCCTGTCTCTCCTTCTAAACTAAACGTTCCGAGTTGATTGCACTTGTTTGCCATTCTCTGAATGATGTCTGTCATGTAGGAAATGAAACAGGAAATGTAGACAGATGCAAAAGCGCACACAGCAAAAAAAAATATTATAAGAAAAATATGACATCATTTTTGATAGTTTTTTTCGACAAATAATTAAAAAGAATGATAAACATGGTTTTTGGAGTAGAAAAAATATACTATAAAACGATAGAAAGAGTCTCTTTTTAGTTTGCATACAAAAAAAAAAATAACAACAAAGCTAAGTTCGGGAAGTCGAAGTTTGTATACCCTTTGATCAAGGAATCTAATTTGGTTCTAAGCCAATAATTCATGAATTTTATGTTAGAAGGCTTCATTGTTTTAGTTTACTTAAAAAAAAAATTAAATAAAAAACGTATATGGTTTTTTTTTTAATATTTTGTCAATTTTAAAATAAAATAATTAAAAAATTATAAAATGCTATACAAATTGGTTAATTTTTGGTTTAAAAGACACTTCTAGATGGACGTATACATTATGGGCTCTATAAAATTCCATAAAAATTATAAACATAATTTTTTTTAATTTGTTAACAATATTAGTGTATTTAAAAATCTTTATAATTTATATTCCTGCTATAGAAATCCATCTTAAATTTAAAACCTCTTAATTTCTCTCTCTGCATATCGGTCAAAGCGTTGACAACAAAGTCGCGCCTTCGTTGTGCTTCTTTTATTTCCCCCTTACCCCCCGGATTCATACACCCACCTTTAGCAATTTATGCATATTAATAGAAAATTTGCATATTGGGCAAGGTGTTACAGCAATTGTGGTTGTTGTTGTTGCTCAAGCCGACATATGGAATAGCGATTTGCAGCTGAGAAGAAGAGGGGAGAGGTAGACTTGGCTGTGTGCTGCTCTATAACGCCCACTTCTCCCAGACTTCTTCATTATTATTATTATTGCATTACGAAATTCACACGCAGCCAAGTGAGAAAAATACAGAGAAATCATGTAGGCTGATGGAAATGATGATGATGGATAAACCGAGATGGCAAAGATATATATATTGGCCATCTCCTTGAGCATTTGATTCCCAGACAGCCCACGGCCTATTGGGTGTCTAATGAAGTTGAACCAATACGAAAATGATTGGGAAATGCTAAAAAAAAATATATATATATTCATGAGAGAGAGAGGAGAGACCGTGACATTTAAGACTGCATCGAATCGTATGTGACAGTTTGGCAACATAAAAACCAGACCATAAAACCACCTCTTCCTTGACTTTTTTAGCTAAGGAATATAATAATGCAAATGTCAAAGCCGCCAAATATGGAAAACATAACAAAAGGTTCTACAACAAATCGAATTGCGAATCTTTCAAAAGCTCTCAGCACGTGCAATGGCAATCGCAATGAATAAGTAAATATTTTATAAACGCTGACAATTCAGAGAGAATATTTATTTATTTCTATATATTTTTGTATAAAACATTCGCTAGCAAAAGTTGTGTGCTGTTTTTTTGCATGTATGCTAATATATTTCGGCCAAAAATTACAACATGCAACTCATGCATTTTTACCATTGCCTTAGGCTGTTTAAAACTGCCACAAAATGTTGAACAATTCACGGTTTTTTCGGCTTCAGCCACACTATATTTTTTTTATTTGACATAAACTTGCCACATTTAGCAAATGGTGACTCTGTCAGTGGGCCATATCGATCATTCAGGGGGATGTATTTATTTATTAAAAGAATAAATCGAGCAAAAAAGTGGTCTTTGAGAAGCAATATTTTATAGTTTTAAAGGTTGCATTAATTATTTTATCGTTGCATTCACATTTCACGGTTTAATCACTCCTTCACAAGAGTCTTTTTGATTAATTACTGCCACACAGAATCACTTGCAAACAAACCAAAGTGCAACGAGGCTTTTGCCCTTTAAGAACAACTGTTTAAATTCAATAAATTAACGTGCCATATCAAACATTTAATTAATGACAATCATACCAGCGAGCAATAATTCCACTTGAGCAGCCAACAATGGACATGAAGCGGCGGACAAAAAACAGGACAAGGGAAATGTGGAAATATTCTGCGAAAAGGATATTATATTTTTTCCAGGGATTCTCCTCACCCCTCGGCTATCTCTCTCGCCTGTTTGAGTTGTAAATATTATGAAAAACAGCGCTGAGGCTAAAGTGGAAAATATAATTGTTAATAAATTCATTGCAACAAAAAGGGGAGAATAAGCCAAGGGCTATCGAGGCGTATACGTAATATTTTACGTAAAAAGAAATAAAGGACAGTCGCTTCCCGCTGTGACAATAATCAAAGTGCTCTGTATATGTAAATATTTTAATTAAATTTTTATACCACCAGTGAAAACGTAAAGTTTACGATTAAAGATAGTTTAAGTGGGGGTTAAGCAGTTTTCACTTACGTTCTCGTGCTTGAAAAAGCAAAGCATTTTCAGCTCGCGAAAAACGCGTTTCGATGAGACCAACGATTGGAACACATTTGGCAGCTTCTTCAAGGCCACGCGTCGTCCATCCCGAGGATCTGTGACGGCCCTGGAAATAAATAAAAAGAAAATTAGATATATATTCATAAGTTTTTTATGAGTAAAAATATATTAAATTCCCGAGGGATTTTAAAACTCTTAAAAATGTGTCTAAAAGTATGCAATGGAATTTTTAAGGCACTACGTATATTGTTTTTTTACGATTCTCAGATAATTGGAGTAAAAATATTAAAACAAATACATTATAGATATAAAATATAGCAATTTTTTCTACTCCTTTCTCTTAAATTTTAATAAATTACTGCTGTATTGTTTAATTCAAATGTTATTACACTTTGCTAACAAAATTCTTAACACCTTCTGCATCTTAATTTTGGGAATCTTTTTGCCTACCCAATGCTAATCTTTAAGTTCCCAATTCACTGCTCAAGTGTCGCATTATAAACACAGAGCCGATTCTCCGAATTCTCGGGTATGAGAATGTCACTTTATATTCTCTCTCTCTCTACGGCAGACAAAGCCCAGTCAAAATCAGACAGACTGAGAATGCGACTGAGAAGCAAACAAACATTCGATGGAGTTTAAAAGTTCGTTCAACTTTTCGCCTTGGCCAAATGACAATGCCAGCGTTATTTTCCTTTTGTTTTGCAGCACAACCCCTTCCTCTCTCTCCCTAGGAAAAATCGCTTTTCCATTCAGGCCTACAAAATGGCGCCTAGAAGTAGGCAAATTCCTATTGTCTCGCAATTGATAAACAAAAAGCACGGAGACATAGACACAAAATTAGCAAATACAAATACTGTGCGCAAAACAAAAAAAAAAGGTCAAATAACAGACGTGGCAAGTTAGGGGTTTTCGGGGTATGGGTTTGGGCTCAGTTTCGTTCAGTTTTGGTTCATTTTGGGCTAAGGAGAAACTTAAGGAGCAATGGCAGGCGAACACCGACGACACTGAGGCGTCGGGCCAGCTTATGGAGAACTTTTATGATGCCATTGGCCATGGCATGGCTGTGTGTTAGTCAGCGTCCTGTTTTGTCTGGGGCCAAGTCCTTGTCGTCTGTCTGCCCGACGCCCTTCTCTTCCCTTTGATACAGAGGGAGAAATATTACCAAGATTTGATTATAAAATATAAGTTATATTATAGTAAATGAAATAAATACTTGAATTGATTAAAAAATATTTTTAAATTCGTTACGAAAAAGTTTCTTTACGTTTATTGTAAAAAAAAAATAGGACAAGTATGAAACCCCCAGAGGAATGCCCAAGAAAATGTTGCTGGGAAAATTATTTATTTTATTTTTTTTTTTATAGTTATACAGGGTATACTAACTTATACTAATATTCCTTACAAAATCTTTCTTTCAACTACCTTCATAAAATTAAAAAACCCTTAAGGAAATTCATTAAATATTTTTTAGCCAAACAATATTTTATACGCTGATTTTCCTATACTGTCGATATATTAATATCAAGACAGACATTGTTAAATACTTAATTTCTTTGCGTGCTAATTTTTTCCCCATTTTCCACACTTTACCAGGCCTTTAGCCCTGCCTTGTCTGTGCAGAGAAAATATATTTATATATATATTTTTTTTGTTATGGTCTCTGGTTTATTTTGGTGTCCCAAAAACTGCGCAGTAGCATCGCCTGCCTCTACTGCTACCAAGTAAAAATTCCCTTTTCTCCATCCATTTATTTTGGGAATCTGCTTGTGCTATGTGATAAGTTGAGGGCCGTAAATCTTTTGGCCCTGTTAGTTGGCCGACGACAGTTAAGCGTTGAAAATTATGGCAAATTTGCTGCAGATTGAATTGGTTTGTGCTCCGTGTAAGGCTGTGTGTGTGTTGTGCATGTGAGTGTGTTTCTCTGATTGGATGATGACTCAGCATCCCATTCGAGTGTAGCATACATTGGGGCGCTTTTTTCTCACAGGCGAAAAGCTATTTGCATGTCTGAGTCTGTGGAAATAGACGAATATCATCGTCGTCTAGGCACAATGTCAGTCGGAGTGTTAATGATAATGAGCAACGAAACGATTATGCTAAAATGCAAAACAAGACAACGAGAAAACAGAAAAAAAAAGCCAGACAAATGGCAGCCTCTGACTGAATAAAGGAATAATGACGCGTAACGAGAAATGGTTGTTATGAAAACAGATAATTTTGGACAATGAAAACATGTCCGGAAAAGGGAAATTCAAAAACAAAACAAATGTAATAAAATTGATTGATTTTAGTGAATAAAGCAAACAAATATTGAAGGGAAAAACTATCAATTTTTCCATTGTTATTCTATGGAATATTATTTTAAAATAATTTGCACATTTACGAAAGGAAATATAATATTAATGTAGAGCCTTTTCTTTGTTATCAAAAAATGAAACTAGAAAAAAAGGGATCTGTACATGGCTTATTGATTTTATATAAATTTGCTTAAATTTACGAAAAACCTAAATTTAATAGGGCGAAAGGCTGAAGAAAATGTTGACAGATAAAGACAAATGTTGCTAGGAACATGTTGAGCAAAGCAACATTCTTAGAAGTTGCCCCCATTATGTAAATGTTGCCGAAGCTCCACATACTCAGATACTCTATTATCTAAATATTCTCATTAATAATCAATTTCATAATAGTATTTTAAGTTTTTAAAGGAATTTTATTGTAAATCTTGAAATTCTTTTCCCTACAAAATCTCTTCCTGGAATAATTCCACAATTGACCTGACGAACTAAAGGCATCCTCATCCAAGATAAAGTCACACCCATTAAAATTTCATGGTCATCTATCAAAGTCTCTTCTCTGCGTCGCGAGAGAATGATCTGAAAATCAAGAATTCACTTTGTTTGCGTTGAATTGGGTTAAAATCAAAAATTGTTTACGGCTGGAGCCACAGAACCCGAACAGATAAGACCAAAAACATGGACAAATAAGTCGGATGCTGCGGAATGATAAAAGGCGGCAGACAGAGAGGGCCATAGCTAGGCTAAATAGAGAAGGCTATTGCTAGGCTAGACAGAGATCGCATGACGATGATGGATGACAAAATGCAGGCACGTCCGTCCAGGGCATAGCCCAGCGTGTGTGTGCGTTGTGTGTCCCCTTTGGCCATCCCTTTTGATTTGGCCCCACACCCCAAAACGAATTTTCCCCCCATACCGCTTCCATTTTTCCTGCTGCAATTTTTGATGTTGCTTCTTCGCTGCTACGTTTCAATGCCAGTTAATGGGAAATCATTTATCATGTGCGTGTCTTCTGTAGCAGCATAAAAAGGAGAAGAAAGGGCTATATATAGTATATAGTATATTCGAGGCGAAACAAAAAGTGCCAGAACTAAATGATAATTACCCAAGACATTGCACTGAAACGAGACCTAAACGCATCGAGAGATCAATAATTTATCATCTCTGACCCGACCGTCCTTCAATTTGCGACGGGGGCCTCTCCACTCTACTTGAAAATTTGTTATAGTTTCCCTCCCCAAAATATATCTGATTGATCGGAACCAACGGAATGGAATGGAAGAAGCAACCCATCTTCAATCTCCACCAGGTGCTGTGCGCATTTCGTGTTCAAGTGCTTGGAATCGAATCGAATCGCATCAGAAGGGGTTTATGGAAAAGCACAGCGGGGGAGGGAAAACTCTGGCCGGAAAAGCGTCGGAAGCGCCAAAGGGTGGAAAACTTGAAATTGCCATTTCGATGCTCAAAAAAGTTTCCTCGTCGCATTCTTATTTTATTTTTGCCATCTTCCTTTTCCGTGATGTCCCGCCGCAAACAAATTCAAATATCCTTTCGATTGACTCTTGGCCAGTTTGAAGATGTCCTGACGAAAACTGACTTCTAGTTCGGGTATATAGGTTATAGAATATTTCTTTGTTCGTTGTTTGTATTAAAGTTAGAGTTTAAGATGGGAATTCTTATAACAAAATTAACTACAGAGTTATTTTCCCAATAATACTTATATTTTGTAATATTCCAAAGTTGGTATTTCGAATTCCATCACATTTTATTTTATATTATTTCCCTGCAAATTCCTTTTGGATTCCTTAAGCAGCTTAAGCCCAGAAAAAAAGAACTTTTCAATGACTTTTTGGGTCTCGGACCTCGCCTGCGGGTCACATCTGCCTTTACTTTACATTATTATTTCATTTCTTTTTCCATTTTGGTGCATTCTTTTTCATATATGTTTATGTATATTTATTATACAAATTGATGTTTTGGACCTTTATTTTTTTCGGAGGCGGCAACAGCCTCAGCATGTCAGTATCTTTCTCGCGGTATCTTGGTATCGTTTTTATTCAAGCTTGCATAATTTCATTTTTGATTTCTTCTGACACTTTGCACATGCTTTTTGAATAACTCATCACCTTGTGCACTCATCATCAAAAACATTCTCATTCTTGGCTCAGCCCAGTCACCACTCCTTCTCCAGTCCAGCTTCATCCTCCGCCCAGAAAAGCTGATCCATCCAAGTGAGCATTTGTGCCTTTGGGCCTTTAACTTCCTGCTGCTGCTGTCTGACTGCCTTTTTCTTCTCCTTCCAGATTTGTTGGTTCATTGAACCCTTGGCATTCTGGTCTCACTCGCCTCTGGTATTTTTAGCGTATGTACTGTATTTTTAAGCGTATTTTTATTAAAGGGGGTTTGCCAAGAAATGTATTATATTTTTTTAAGTTTCTTTAACCTCTCTTTAAAAACAAAAATGTAGCAAATCGCTTTGCTACTCAATTACTAATTGCACTTTTGCCATAATTATAGCCTCATTATATATGCCATGTGTCAGCTGATGGCTGGGGGTGGTGGCAACTTGCAATTCGCATTTGGCCTGCGTGTAAATTACTAATTCCTGCCGTTGTCCTGACACCGCTTTGATTGTCCCTGTCACTCACTCGCTCGCTCCATTTATCTATCTCTGTCCGGCAGCCAGGGAGAGCTCTTTGTTTGCTCAGCGATGTGCTGAGCCAGCCAATTGTTGTGCTGATGTCGACATTTCTCAGTCAGTGCCCATTATTTCGGTCGGTCAACGGCAGAGAATAGAGAATAGAGGCTA